TAAAATGTTAACAAATAAATAAATGCACATTCCTATGCATCCTGGCCTATTCTTCGCAGCTATTGAATTTGAGTACAATTGGGTCCTCCCCCACAAAAAACAACAGCCAAATGAAAGTGAATTATTGCCAAGGGCTGAAAATCTATTCATTCTGCCCAGTCAGAGCTTGAAGCCACAACTTTAGCTGGATCCTCCTCAGCCAGTTCAACGGATAGCCTTTTTGCAACTATAGAATATAGGAATTCTCTATAATGCCCCTGGCTACTCACTATCACATTTTGGAATAGTTTGGAAATCCTTCACCCCTTTCTCCCTGCCATCTATGTGACAGACGCATATGATATGGTTACGAGATTTTTTTCAATGAATCCCGGGACACTTTTTTTTTAAAGCTGATTAGCAACAGGGAGTCAGTAGTGGGGATGGTGACGCAAAAGACCATAGACCCGAGCACACATGCATATTGTATAAAGGTGCAAAGCCCTTCTTTCGCACCCTGTGAAACATAAATGTGCAGAGTTTTTTTAAAACTGGGCAACGGCCCCCCCACCCACAACTCCCAAGCCTCCCCTGATCAGTCAAAACAAAGGGGGAAGGGGGCAGGAGATCTGTACCGCCGGACGTCCCCGATTCCCCTTTGGCAGTGGTGGTAGCAGCAGTCAGCAGCCTGGAGCCTGCCTGGTAGCGCAGTTGGCTCTGGCTGGCTTCAGGAGCTGCTCACTGCCTGCCATTCTTCCTCACTGGAATTCCCCATATGATGTGTTGCGCACAAGACATATCATATGGGGACTTCCATCGAGGAAAAATGGCAGGCGCCACGGCAGGGACAGATTTGCAAATCCGGGGACTGTCCCTGGGAACCGGGGACATCTGGTAACCCTAGCATATGAGAGATGGAAAAGAGTTTTCAGCCCAAGGGCCATATTCTCTTCTGGACAACCTTCTGGAAGCCACTTGCCAGTGGAGGACAGGCCCAGAGGCCAAACAGGCAGAGCGGCAAATACAGTAGACTGATTTCTACACACTCACCCATGTGTCTCCATCTTCCATCCAGGCAAGAAAGAAGTGTATCAGAGTTCAAGGGCAACCAGAGTTCAGGCAAAAGCACTCAAGAGGATGCAATGCAGAGCTGGTGAGGGGTGCGGCACAGGAAGCTGTATGGTCAGGGTAGAATCTTAGAGGGTCGTATTTGCACCCCAGACTTGAGGAATCCTCACCCCTGCTCTCTATAGTGAAATGCACACCTATGAAAGGAGGGCATTTGGCTGTTGCATTCTTGCCAGGCTACAAGCAAGACGGGCTTCCATTTCTTCTTAAAAGTGTTCATGATGGAGAAGCATTTATTTTGTTTACAGTGAATTACACTGAAAGAACTGATTTGACCCTTCATCCTTTGCAGGTTTGTATGTGACCCCTGTAGCAATGCTTTCCTTCTTTCCTTTGATTCTATTATCACTGCAATTTAAGAAATGGGGCTGCTATTGAAAAGAATAAGCAGGTAGTTTCTCCACACATATGTAGCCCTGTGCACATCCACAAAAATATACATATCCATTAGATATATTTATTGACTTGCATTTTGCACTCAAAAGTATTCTATAGCCCTCTTTTTAAGTCCACAAAGGCATGCAGGTAGATGTGGGAAATCATACCCACCAATGATTTTCATGAAGAGGCTATTCTAAGAAGTACATGATGACTTCATGAACATTCTTAGGGATTCAAATCCCCCCCCCAGTCATTTTCCTTTTCTTAAGAAGAAAGTGATAAGCATCAGAACACTATCCTTAGCTAATGTCTCTCTTCACACTGATTTTAGGTTCATTTTCTTTGCAGCATTACCAGGATGTGACTCTATGAAATCATTTCAATTTCGTAATGGGAGATACGTTCTGAATTGTTTGAAAAGCTGACAACTTGCCATCTCCCTTTCATGTGTATTTGGTCCAGGCAACCACATTGCTATGGGCCAAAACGATGTGGGAGTCTGGAAACAATAACGAGCTTGTCACATTTTGTAAAAGTGAGCCTGGAACACATCCCCAGTTATACATCTGCCTATCTCTCTCACCGATACACTAAAGGATTCAACTGCCTACATATTTTCATTAAGAGAGAATTGACTGATCTCCATTGTTCTGTTTTGCCTTCTCTCGGAAACATCTGTGGGTGATTTCTTCAAAAATCTCTCTACTGTTTGGGAAAGAGCTACAATACCTTTGTGGCACATAAGCACAGCTGTATACTTTGTGTGCTGCTGCAGATACATTTGCCAAGCATGCCACATGACAGCTGCCTCATGCTAAGGGCTAATTCTTTCAGTGTTCACTTAACTTCTGGCACCACTGATGTTCCTCAGACTATTAGGGAAGCAGCACTCTAGCATGAAAAAGACTGGGTTAATCCTAAAACTCTGGTCCACTAGAAATCAATAGGGTCTGTTTCTGGCATGTGGAATTCATTTAATTCCATGTGCCAGAAAAGAGGAGCACAATTCTGTTTTGTTTTTTAAAACCAAAATACCTTGATTTTAGGGCTTGATTTTAGTCTCCTTTTTACATACCTTGTCTTTTATGGGGGTGAAAAATAATAAAATTGGAGACACTTCTTTGCATCCAGTTAACCCTTACAGCAGGAATTGGGGGGGAAACATCAGGTGTTGTAGGAATCCAACTCTCATCAATCCCAGCTAAGCTAGCCAATGGATGATGAGAAGTATAGTCCTAACTAGAGGGCTATAGATTCCCCATCCTTGCCTGATAGGTATAGATGTTCTAGTGCACAGCTTTGTTAGGGGCAGCTCTCTAGAAATAAGCTATGTGCTTTGTTAATGGGAGCATCAGTACCTAGTTATCAAAGTTATTTGCATCTACATTGCAGCACATATGCAGCTGATACATTTTTAGAAGTGAAGACTACAGCAGCATTCTGTATTCTGAAGCATTGTTCAATCTTGTTTGTAGTAAATTTTGTTTTCACATTCAACAGCACGTTTATTGATGAGCAAGAGATCACAATGCTCTCTAGAGATTGCATTCATATGGTGTCACAAGTAAGATGTCATGTGACTGCAATAATATCCTTCCATTAAAAATAAAACAACATATTAAAGATTCTGTCTCTGGAGTTTATACCACTGATGTGATAAATAAGATAATTTTTCCATTTTTAAAACCCCCTAACTGCAATATATATGACATGATTTATTCACCGTAGCTTTCAGAGTTCTGATTTATATACGGTAACTTTCAGATTCAGGTACATTGGCCTGATTTATATATGCTGCATAGAAAAGTTCTTATTAATGAACCTAACATTTTTAAAGTTCAGATTTAGTGTGTTAGTTTATAAATCTTTGTTAAACTTCCAATTTAGTTTTCTGATTAATGTATCCAGCTTTCATGCTATTTATGAATCATAATATTAAGTATCTGATTTAATAAAACTGTTACTGTAAGAAGCATTAGCACAATAAAATATTCAATACCTAAGAGACTGACATAACACTGATCAATGATTTTTACATACCTAATGGACACTTTAGGCTGGATTCCTAAATTGGCATCTATAGGTGAAGCTATATCTCATATACATATAATAAGCTAAAAATAGGCTGTCAAGTGAGAGCCACCATGATGTCATGGAATGTTCAGCCCCATTTAACTGCTGAAGTGAAAGCTGTCAATAAACAGTGCAGTCTCTGTGGGGGAACTGAACTATCAATTTCCTCAAGTCCATAGACCAGCAGGGAAAATGGTGTTGTGCTGTTGTAGGATGGTCCAGAGCAGGGGTCAGCAACCTTTTTCAGCCGTGGGCCAGTCCACCGTCCCTCAGACTATGTGGTGGGCCAGACTATATTTTTTTGGGGGGGGGATGAACGAATTCCTATGCCCCACAAATAACCCAGAGATGCATTTGAAATAAAAGCACAAATTCTACTCATGTAAAAACATGCTGATTCCCAGACCATCTGTGGGCCGGATTGAGAAGGCGATTGGGCCGCATCCGGCCCACGGGCCTTAGGTTGCCTACCCCTGGTCCAGAGATAGGGAAGTGGTGTGGCAGATTGTGAGGTTAAGAAGATTTGTTTCAAAGACAGTCCAGAGAGGCAAACCAGCAAAGGGAAGCTGCATGAAACAGCATCAAAGATGTGAAGGAAGAGTGGGAGGGAAGCGAAGGATTTAAGGAAAAGAGAAGCAGAAAAAGAGACCTGATGAAAGGAAAGACAAACAAGAAAGAAAGACAAGAGAAAGCCATACACTGTAACTGTGTGCTAATGCCAGAAGTAGGTGAGGATGCTTTAGGCAACACAACAGTTTGACCTGGTGTAAAGGGACAAGGATGTGAACAGAGCAAAGGGAGACTTATGTAAGATTCAGTTCAGTGGTAACAGCCCCTTAACTTTGGAACAAGCAGTAGGGTGGGGTGGGGACAGCTTTTGGACCCATGATTAGAAAACAGTTAAAAACAAGAATAATTAGAGAACCCCTTTTGGATTTTTTGTGTAAAAAGGAAAATGAATTACGTAATTTCTTTGGGTGAGAAGAATTGGAAAATATTGCCTAACAGAAAGTGGATAAGTGGGGAAACCCCAAAACAGATTTTTTTGGGAAAGCCCTGTTGTGCAAGCAGAGATCCTTGTGCTGACAGCACAGCTACTTAGCGCTACATTGGATACAAGTCACAGTATGTACTGCACATCAGTCGATAGTGGGAATACAGGCAACATGATCACACATGCATCCTGGGCCTCTTTTCCAACATGGTATCCACTTGCTCCACCTGAGGCTGCAATATAGGCTTCAGTTAGTCGCTTTAGGGAATTTTTTGCTTCTCCATAAAAAATTGACCTGATGGACAGGGTTTGGTTTTGGGTTTGTTTGTTTTTTTGCCTACTCTGCCCTGTATGCTTTGGAGGATGTTCACAGAATCATAGAATTGTAGAGTTGCTAAGGGCCAGGGGGTCTTCCAGTCCACCCCTCTGCAGTGCAGGAATCTTTTGCCCAACGTGGGACTTGAACCCACAATCTTGGGATTTAGAGTCTCATGTTCTACCGACTGAGCTATCAAAAAGACTGGAGTTAGGAAATGGGTATGGTCTAAAAGGTTAATCTGGTCACACTGGCAGGTAGGTGCTGGGATGGAAGGAAGGTGAGATGATTAAGTGAGAATGCACAAGTACCTTTCAGGGTGATGGACATTTTGAGAGGCCAGCTCTTCCAGACTGTGTGACATGTGGACTGAATACAAATAGCATCTTTGAGGCAGCTTAGTCTCACCCATTCAGAATTGTACCTTAAGGGTGCAGCTCAGGTAGAGTTCATGATGACAGGTCTCCTATCCTGCCCAAGGCAGTTTTCATTTAGACATGCCCCACACTAGTATTGCCCTCTGCTGAGATCTGTAACAATAGAGTCCTTGTTCAATCCCTGTTTCTGTGTCTCACCTCCTTGGGTTCATGTGCCCTATACATTTAATGGCTTCCCCTTACAGTAGCAGAGTTCCCAGAGTTGTTAAGCAATCAATTCCACATCCTAGGGAACTCTGGGTATTGTAGCTCTGTGAAGAGAATAGGGGTCTCCCAACAACTCTCAGCACCTTTACAAACTGCAATTTCCAGGATTCTTTGAGGGGAGCCATTTAAAAAGGTTTTAAAATGGTATGATAATGCTTTAAATGTATAGTGCAGATGGGGCCTTTATTACTGACTTTACCTGCAAATCTAATCGGCATGTGGAAACATGAATTGATAAGAACTGGTAAGTTGCTTTTAATATTGTGTTTTAATGTGTTGACCCAACCCTGGGACTTTGGGTGGGTAATAAATAAATAATAAAAAGTATAAGGACTAAAACATAACTGGTACATTCCTAGCCTAGTTTAGGGGGGAAAATGCATTAAATGCATAATTGTGAGGAAACAACTAGCAATATTGTTAAATTACAGTGCACCAGAAACTTGTGGCAGGTTCTTTTCCTTCATCTCTCCCTCCCATCTTGGTCATCATGAATACAGCAGGCAATGAAATAGCCACCACAGCAGAAGTGAGCCCAGTTGCTTTGACAGTGGTTGTGCATTACTTCTCTTACTGGAAGGATTTCAGTTGGTCTCAATGATATCATCATTCGGCCATACCAGAAAGGTGGCACCGTAGCATAATCATGTTCACTGCATCTACCCTGAGATCATGGAGTGAAAAAGTTTTGCAAAGTCAACAGAAACAGGTGCTGAAGAAACAGAAGATCATGGAAACAATGGCCGAAACAACGGGCATAAAAAACCACAAGAAAGTGAATGAAATATGGTTTTCTTATTTTTATTTTTTTAAGGGATGGGTTATTTATTTGGTAGCTTTTAATATCAGAAAAATAAAACTCAATTCTCCTTACAGCAGATATGGAATATCAATGCTGTGTACATCACATTTTAAATGAGAAGTTAGAGGATTATCTCTCTCTCCTCTTTCCCCCCTGAAATGATAGCAGTTTGCTTTGAATATTAAATTTCAGAAAAGCGTGGAAGCAACATAAGGAAGGAGGAGGAGGAAAACACTGAAGGATTATTCTGTATAGTGCTACTAAAAGAAAAGAGAACCTGCAACAAGTCATCTGAATGACATAAATTATACACAGGCTTACATTTATATATTGTTGGATATATTTTCCTATACTGTATTAAAACATGTAGCTTTTATACACAGTTTAGTGCATTCCACACTGAACTCTGAATTCTATATAATTAATGAAACACCAAACCCACTGTCATGTGCAGTATGATAATAGTGCTTAACCCAGTAACTTGGCTAACAGTAGTACACAACACATGTTTTAAACAGTCTTTTCAGGACTTGTCAGAGAAGATTCCAAGGCCAATAATTTGCCTGTCATCTAAAGCTTTAATTAATGTAAGAAAAAAGCAACAAACATATATGGTTGAAACCTTTACTTTGTAACCAGGCACTGCTAAGTGCCACCTACTAATATGAGTAGTGACTCAAGTGTAAAGTGTGACCTTTCCACAATGCTCATACTCTAAGTTCTACAGTTCAACACAGATGGGGGAATATTCAATGCCTCTAGAACAGTACAAGGAGGGACCCCAAAGACTTAACAACTCATTTGCCCCTGCTGAGTAGCAACTAAGGCAGAAGCGCCTTGAGTATATTCCAGGAGGAATTGCCAGGTGGTGCCTCCAAAATCAGTGAGCCCAAGCTGCAAGAGCAGAAATCATTATCGTGAGCCTTTGCAATAGTCTAACACATGTGACCAACAAGAACTGAACATATTGCACTTTTTAAACTTAAGAAGTTAATTGAAATCTGAAGCCCAAATTCCACAGCCTGTGTAAACACCCACCACCGTATGTATATACGATGTAAATATATTTGTTTATCTCTTTTCAAATAGTCCAATATTTAATTTTCAATAATGGGGCATGATTGCACTGCAACCCAACTAAATTCCATGGATAGATGCAATCTACATAAGTTCAGTGGGAGTTTTAAAATTGACTTCAAACATGTAGGTAGGTATATATGAGAGATGCAGGCCTAACCTTTTCCAATTTCTTTTAGCCAATTCTTCAAAATGTATTTGAAAATTACCGTATTTTTCGCACTATAAGACACACAAGACCATAAGACGCACCCAGTTTTTGGAGGAAAACAAGAAAAAAAATATTCTGAATCTCAGAAGCCAGAACAACAAGAGGGATCGCTGTGCAGTGAAAGCAGTGATCCCTCTTGCTGTTCTGGCTTCTGGGATAGCTGCCCAGCCTGCATTCACTCCATAAGACGCACACACATTTTCCCTTACTTTTTAGGAGGGAAAAAGTGAGTGTTATACAGCAAAAAATACAGTAATTTAAGGTAGCATTTTTTCCTTTTTTTAAAATAAAAAAAAGTAGTGGTAAGAGAACCAACACAGCCAAATAGTATTTTGACATTCCTCACTTTGCTCTAAACTAAGATCATTGCCATTTCACCCCATGCTCACTTACCTGCAGTGGGACACATTTCCAAGTAAACATGGCTAGGATCAAGCTTTGTTAAACTCAAGCTGCATCTATGCTACCTTTTCAGCAGACTAGGGCTGCTTCCAATGTGCTCTGCAGCAGATTCATTAATCCACAAGTAGGCTTTGCATTGTGCCATGCACCCACTCAGCATCTGTCAGCAATTCCGGAATGGCTTTTTGAGGTCAGCATGGTGTCAGCACAATTAGGAACTATATCAGCACAACACTGTTATGCTCCTCATTGTTACTATTTAAATAAGAACACTTTGCTTGCTCCCACCTCCCCCCGCTTGTGTTGGCGCAAGAGTGAGCGGCAGGCCCGGTGGCAACATAGCATAGCTTTTATTTATGACACTCATGTCATTATTTAAATCTAAGTCCCCCTCCTCTACATTAAAAAAGAAGCACACACTTGCAGAAGACGTGTATTATTAACAGCATATTTATGAACACTGAACACAATAACAACTGTGCTTTGTAATGCAAATTGGTTCCTCTAGCCCTTTAGAAGGCTCACTGGATAATCGGAATGCTTCCTCCATAGAAGCAATTTTATGATGATGTTTGGTAAACACACAAACACATCAAGCCCGATAGAACAAAGCAGTACAATGTTGCTCGGTAATTAGAGATGAACTGGAATATGGTGTCATCTAAATCTGCATATATTTCGATAGTGTTGATTCATCATTTGGATGTCAGACCAATGTTGTCAACTATGGACAGCTGAGATCTCATACAGTCGCACAGGACAAAACTCTCAGAAGTTGAAAATGTTTGGTTCAATCCTAGGAAATTTTTTAAGAGGCACCCAGATAGGCCAGCACTCATTATTGGTCCCTGTCAGTCAGCTATACTGTTATGGCTCAGTCCTAGATAACAGAGAGAAATACCTGTATATGCATCAATGAAGTGTTTGCCTCAAAGTTCCCACTTTCCTCAAGCCTGCTTGAGGATCAATTGAAAGAATAATCAGAAGACTGTCTTGAGAGAGGGATGGCAGCAGGGGGAATTATTTTTGATTCAGTCCTCAAGGCCAGTTTCTTCGACTTCTCAAAGAAGAAGCTTGGGAATCTTCTTTTGTGTGCAGGGGAAGGACGAAGTGTGACCACAGTTCTTGAATTAAACCAAAATAATATTAAAGGATTTGCAATGAATAGCAGCTTGAACTTAATTATATATTTTACCCAACTCCTTTTGCATCTGTTGATTGATCAGGGTTATATACTGTATAGATTTTGTTTTAAACATTGGTTTTAAACATTTCTGATCTATGTACCCAAAACCCCAACACAGGCATTGTACTCAGCTAATTAAAAAAGGTTTGCACCTTGCAGATTTACTATTCTGGGACAATGTAGTGTGGCAGGGCTAAATAAAGGTCAGCCTGAGCCATCTCTGCTTAGCTCAAAGTTTCTACAAAGGCTTAAAAGAACCTGTTTCTGTGACAAACACGTACACACAATTTTTACAGTCTTTGCTTGATGCAGAAGTCATGCACTTCATGAGTCTAGTAAACTACCATTTACTGAGCAAAGTAAATAAGAGAAAATCAGCAAAATGAATCATATCAGAAATTCAGTACAGAAAAATTGTTTCTGTATATTGCATTTGCAAAAGCGTCAATCATATGATATCTTATTCACTGCTAGAACAAAGCATAAATCAACACTTGTAAGATTGCATTGAGATACACAACTGGATATTGGTATGTGTTAATACAACTAAACAAGAAACTGGATTTAATATTATATTATCTTACAAACTTATATCATACAATCACTTCCAATAATTAAACATCCATAGTGAGTTTAATAACATTTATTCTCGGGTGTAAGAATCTCTAGTTGAACTGAATTATACAGTGTTTGAAAAATGCATTTACATTTAATGTGTGGCATAGCACTGCCTGGTTTTTCCTAATCAGATCTGTAATTTATTCTAGAGTTTACACCATACAGATTGCTAGGCACTGTAAATACATTCATCACCATTAATTTTGATAGAGCTTTACTGACATCAGCAGAGTACTTTGGACCTCTGCTTGGAAATCTCTTATAA